TTATATATAAGCATTATAGTGCAGTATTCTGTTCACAGTTCCCTCTGCTGGTTTTATTTAAAAGACAAGAACGTGACCGGCAGACCAAAAGTCCCAAAAATAATGCTTCTCTGATTATGTAACATACTCAGGGTGATGAAAAACGCAGTGGGCATCTTCCTGTCTAGACAGCAGTACAGCTCATCCTAAAACATGAGATGTCTAGCTTCTGTTTATTTTATTCTAGCTGTCCCTGATTGAAACCAATACCAAAAAATATGACCAACAAGTCTATATTTGCGTAGAGTATGTTGTAATGCACCAAACCACTCCCCACTCCAAAAAGCAATCTATTATCAAATAAAGAGATATGTAAAGATACATGGTGAACAAAGGATGTTCCTCTCTATTAGTTCTGGAGTGAAGTAGACCACTCATGGAGAATTAGTCTGTGAGCTCAAATGGCAGAAACTTTCCAAAAGCTTAATTAGTTTGGATTAAGACAGAGGAAATGGGACAAGCATTATTAAATCGAACCCACGGCTATTGTCTGGCCTTGTTATAAACCCAGAGGGATGTTTGGAACAAAACCATTATCTTCCTCGTTTCATATTCTGCTGCTGTGTTGAAAATGTTCCTCAATGGAATTTTAATGCCTATATATCAAAGCTATTTAAAATTTTGCTCCAGTCCATTAAATACATTCTTCCATGTTTACAGATGAGGCTAAACAAACAAATTAAATCATTCTGAAGTGAATGGTTAGTGTGTTGTAAAAGAGGCAAATAGAGAGTCAAGCCACATTTTTAAAGGGATAGTGCACCCTAGAACTAACTTTATCATTATTTACTTACCAGCATATTGTTCAGAACTTCTTCACTAAAAATCCTAACAGTACTCAGATTTTATTTGTGCTTTCGCTCATTTATTCATGTAACATAACGTAAGTACGCTGAAAAGAAATTGGAGTAGGATTTACAATAAGAAAGCTATAGGAAACTATTTTTATTCAGTAAATTGCTACATGCTAGGAAATTTAACTAATTTTATAATAATTACAATTTAATAATTACAAAGAAACATTGAATTCAACATTTGAAAATGCATCTTTTTCTCTAAATTTTGGCTTTCTGTCCACGTTGGAGATTTTTTAAATACGCTCTCCCTTGTGGATAAATTTGAAAATTTTCGTGCTATAGTGTGGACTGTGAAAACAGATTTCAAAACGAGGACACTTGTTTAGTCATGTGACCCATATCGCACCATTAGATATTTATGTTTATACCCATATGTGCCTGTTACGTCCCATTCACTTCCACAGTGCTGCTAAAGATAAATTTTACTTAGTGCAATCTTCATATTAAATTTCTAAATTTAGTTGCACTTGCTGTCCTGCGGCAAAACATGAGGCCATACATGAAATTGCGACTGACTGTGAGATATTTTGCTAATAACCTGATCATGCCAGAGGAAAATCATGAGAATTTTATTGTGTCTGGTCTATCGGTATCGTCTCAGTGAGCTTTTATTATGTTTTATGCATGTGCAGTGAGATGACTTTAGCATTTTCTGATGTTTCAGTGTGGGTGAGAAAAATTTGCAAAACGCAAGTGTAGACAGATAGCATTTTGTAACGAAAACAACATTTTCAGATGTATCTGGATATTTCACGCTGACTCCAACATTCAAATGTATTGTATTGTGACATTTGGGATGTCATTGTTTTAAAACGTTGCACAATGAGTCCTGGTGCCTGTTATGTCCCATTCACTTCCACAGTGCTGCTAAAGATAAATTTTACTTAGTGCAATCTTCATATTAAATTCCTAAATTTAGTTGCACTTGCTGTCCTGCGGCAAAACATGAGGCCATACATGAAATTGCGACTGACTGTGAGATATTTTGCTAATAACCTGATCATGCCAGAGGAAAATCATGAGAATTTTATTGTGTCTGGTCTATCGGTATCGTCTCAGTGAGCTTTTATTATGTTTTATGCATGTGCAGTGAGATGACTTTAGCATTTTCTGATGTTTCAGTGTGGGTGAGAAAAATTTGCAAAACGCAAGTGTAGACAGATAGCATTTTGTAACGAAAACAACATTTTCAGATGTATCCGGATATTTCACGCTGACTCCAACATTCAAATGTATTGTATTGTGACATTTGGGATGTCATTGTTTTAAAACGTTGCACAATGAGTCCTGAGGATGCCTGTTCAGCCTAATGTCTTACATCAAAGCTGCTTTAAGGCTAGCCTTCAAGGTTAGCAAAAAAATGAAAAAGTGTAATACTCCGGCACAAAAATGCTGTTTTATAAGATAAGTCACAGATGATTTTGTGACAGGTAGGATTTGGTTTACGGCACTTATTATTCATTCCAATGGTACTGTATCTGCAAACAGTGATTGACAGTCAAAAAACTCTGACAGAAATTCAATGACATCAAGGCTGTAATGTGATTGGTTATTAAGGCACAAGTGATCTAAGTTGACCCTTACGTTTCCTCCAATGCTAGAGCCACAATAATCCAGGTAAAATAAATAAAACTGGTATCTCCAAATAATAAGGCCATTTCTGCTAACATTTCTGTCTGTTCATCACATAAAGCTAGCATATGGCTTCTGAGGACTTTAGCGCATGAGTCATATGGAACATTTTTATGGTCCTTTTCAACTATTCATCCTCCTACCAGATATGCAGTAGAGCCCATGCGAGACACTATGAAAGAGAGAGAGGAGGGGCAGTGATGAGAGCTATCTGTGAAGAATAAGAACATCAGCTGTACTGGCAGTTTGATGAATGTGGGGGAGAGGGAGGTGCGGCCTGCTGAGATGCCTGGATGAAAGGGAACCAAATTACCTCAGCAAATCACTGACGCCATGTCTGTCAGGAATTATTTAGTGACGGATGTAACGGGTGGATACAGGACATGTCTGAGGCACTGTTTAATGACACACAGGTGGCTGATGATACAGCAGCAGCAGGCAGGGAGGGTGGGCTGTTTATCCTGCTCTGATCGGTCACCTTACTCTGGCAGGTTGTCTGTAAAGACAGGTACAGTATCAGAGTTGTAGAGTTTATTAGTGTTGGGTCTGAGTCGAGTCCTAGTTTTTAATCAATTGAGTGGGAGACGTTTATTAATGTCTTTTTATATTTTATGTTGTTACTTATTTCTTTATATTTTATATTGTACATGATGTGGATTCGTCTCTGAAAATGTCTGTCCAAAATGTCAGAGTCCAAGTCTGAGTCCGAGTCCAAGTTCATTCACAATTGCAGTCCGAGTCCAAGGATTCCAACTCTACAGTTTATTCAGAAAAAATGGTAACGCACCATTCTAATGGAAATCTTCATCATTTTTTTTACTTCATTTTTTTTTTTACTCACTTTATTACTTCAGATCAGTTAGCAATGGATGTTCTAATGCTAATTGCTTTATGATCCAAACCTTACACTGGAGATCATGTGGCAACCTAAAACAGAATCAAAATTGCATTGTAAAAAATGTAGGGAAAAAATATATATATATATATTCTAAAAGTCAGCATGAAATGGAAATTCTTTTTTTTTTAATGAATGTTATTGATCTTATTCGGTCCTCAAAAACAATTGTCAATAATAAAATGTACATAATTATACATATTAAGTGAAAAAGGTCAGTCTAAACCTTTGTTTATTATACCTACCCTTTTTTCACTATAACTCTAATAATCCGATCTATAACAACCAATCCATAGAAAGTAACACAAAAATATACAAAATCTAAAAATACAAAATAAAACAAAAATAGATACTCAAGACAATATTTCCAAAAATGTTCATAAACTTCACAATATGGAAGAGAAGATCTGTTGCTACTTCTACTACTGTTGTTACACTGTGGCTTTAAAAACACTGAAATATATTCATATTAGCATTAACAGCGTGAAAAAAAATACAGCAAAAAAAAAAAATACTGCTAAATTATTATCATGAAGTGCTAGGATGACTGACAATTCTGCAAACACAGAAGTGATTTATCAGTATAAATCATGGAATCATGGAGTGACAAAATACTAATTTTATGTACATCAAATTAATCATTTTTCCAGCATGTGTGTAGAATATAGAAATGCAACACCCGTCAAACTCCCATGTAAAATGAGTATTCCACGGATAGACATCCTCAGGGCTCTACATGTTCTTGCTTCCCTGAAGAGAAAGAATGTTTCATATTTAGTAAGAGTCAAAAGAATTAAAGTGACACAATATTTTGAGATGATTAAAACTGTGAATATTTACAGACACTCTTAGCAGTGATTGAACTCAGCCGTTTTGATCCAGTCCAAAAGACCCATTTCACATATATTCAGATCTCTGCTTAGTGTGCTGATATGCGACCTCCCTTCCCTCTCATCCTGCCTGTCTCTCCCTGAGGTCCCAGAGAACCTGCTAGAATGGATTGGAAGATCAAAAAGCAGGTAAAAATCCCTTTTATCTTGGGAACGACACTCTAAAGGGGCAATTAAAAGAACACTGTGTGAAGACACAGACGTTGATGGAGACATTAATAGTCTCACAAAAAATGCCTGGATCATATTTTACTGCAAAATAAGAATAAAATACAAGAAATCAAGCATATTTTGGGCCTATTCATAGTTTTTGTATTATTGTCATGACATATTTTACCACAAATTCTCATTACTGCAATGCAAAAAAATATATATTTAAATATAATAAAATCTGAATAAAGTCATGGCAGTAAAACAAATACTGATATCAGATTCTAATTTCTAAAAAATAGGCATATATACACACTTGAAAAGTCTATTTTTAATTAGAGTAAGCTTTTAAATGGCTTTAATGCAGATTCCTGAGATCAACACAACTCCCCCCTCGTCTAATGAGCTCAACTTAAGCTGTGCTTAAACTTGTTAACCTAAACCCGGGTAGCAATGGCAGTCTCAGATCATGGCGTCAACACATACTCATGCATGCTTGCACACAAGCACAGATTTGATTACACACAAGCGCAGGTAGACTCACACACACAGTGTCAAGCTCTGATTAACATAAAATGTCTCCTTCCTAATCCTGAGATCAACACAACTCCCCCTCGTCTAATGAGCTCAACTTAAGCTGTGCTTAAACTTGTTAACCTTTGCCGGGTAGCAATGGCAGTCTCAGATCATGGCGTCAACACATACTCATGCATGCTTGCACACAAGCACAGATTTGATTACACACAAGCGCAGGTAGACTCACACACACAGTGTCAAGCTCTGATTAACATAAAATGTCTCCTTCCTAATTGCATCCTGTGATTAGTGATTTCACAAAAACCTATAGAGAAGAGAAACAGACTGAGCTGTTAGAAAACAATAGCTCAACTGCGAATACCTTCACTATTTATTTACGTCTCTGTGAAGCCCTTGGGCTGATTATACTGTAAACAGAGTTTAAAAAGATGTAAACAGCCTGACACATTTTACAAAAGAAATATTTTGGAAATGTCACCAATTTTTTCTGTCAGCACAAAAGCACAAAGGTCTGTAACAATAAAGTACATTTCAGTTCTTAGCATCATGCCTAAACTCCCCTGAATGTTTAAAGGAACACTCCACTATTTTTGAAAATAGGCTCATTTTCCAACTCCCCTAGAGTTAAACAGTTGAGTTTTACCGTTTTCGAAACATACTTACTGTTTGTCCCAATGCAAATTTTAATTTTGCTACTTGTGTCCATCCTGCTGTTGCTACAGCCATACTCAAAACCCCAATGTGTATAGCAACCAGGTTGTGAATTATCAGAGAGGTGAGATGGTGGTTCTGATCCCCAAATCAAGGCTTGAACCACCCCAAAGCAAAGTCAGAACAAAGGGATTAGGTCCCAAAAGCACATTATTTAACATTTAAGTACATATGTTTCAACAGCGTTATCAAACTATGACTCAGTAACCATAATAATTAGACTGCAAGTGTGTCACTTGCCGCTAAACAGACGCTTGCAAATAGAAGTGTTCATCTGAGGAGGTAACCATAGCAACAGTATGCTGCTGGAGCATTTTTGTTAGTAGCAGTGTTGGACTAAACGTGTGTGTGTGTGTGTGTATATATATATATATATACATATATATATATGTAACGGAGGCCAGCGAGTAGGTGCTGTGCAAGGTAAACCTCACTCCCCTGATCTCAAGAGACGCACTAGCGACTGACGCTAGTGGCTGCAGTCATTTAGCCTCCTTGTTAGTGCGTCCGCCTCCCATGCCGGAGACCC